ACTAACCGCCCTGTTGCTGGCAGCAGAGGGCCCGTCGCCGTGGCTTTGGGTGGGTCGCAGTTGGCGCGTGCAGCCCTAATGCTCCACATGTGTGCAGTTGGTCTCCAGCTTTGGTTTAAGAAGAGCGGGAATCTCTAGTTAGAGCAGCCTGTTCTTACCACGCTTGCGCAGACACACAACTGTTCGTTTTCCTGGGAGCTTGCACACAGCTCGAGCCAATGTTGCTGCCTTCGTGTCATCCTAAGGCGCACTGGGCTTTGTCTTGCCTCTCCTGCAGGTGGGCTTGGCGATCAAGCCTGGTACTACAGTCGAACACTTGGCACCTTGGGCCAATCAGATAGACATGGCTTTGGTGATGACAGTAGAACCTGGATTCGGAGGGCAGAAATTTATGGAAGACATGATGCCAAAGGTAAACTTTAGTTTCCTTATTTATTGATCTTAAAGGTCATCACCAGCATGGAGTGAACGGTGAAGCAAATAAACCTGGTCTGGGCGTGTAAGAAGCTATAGGTAGCTGTAGCAGCCGAGCGTGGATCTCGGTGTCGACCTTTTTATACTATTTCTCAGGTCCAGTGGCTGAGGACACAGTTTCCCTCACTGGATATTGAAGTGGATGGAGGAGTTGGGCCTGACACCATCCATAAGTGTGCAGAGGTAAGAGGCTGAAGCATTCTTTCTCGGTTACTGTGCCAAGAGACTTAGTTGTCCCTCAGAACATGAAGCCTAGGAGGAGTTGCGTTTTGACCATTAGTTTTCAGAGGGAACAGTAAAGCACAGTTAATATCAAAATCTACATGAGATCTAATCTTGTGCCTTTTTTTTAATAGTGGCTAGTGAGGCCTCCGCTAAGCTAGAGAAGTTGTTTCTTGTATGTTCGGGTCAACAGGGGCAATGAGGAAGAAATTAGTGATCTGGGGAAGAGCTGTCTTCTGAACTTGGTTTGTGGTTTTAGTTAGAGGTATGTATGTTACCTGCGTCCCACAGATAGCGTTTGTTTGCCCACCAGCTTAGAACTCACTACCTCCATGTGTGTTTTACAGCAAGAAAACTCTTTCAGAAGTGGATCTGTTCCGTGTTATTGAGTGGGTGTTTAATGTCTTTCAGGCAGGTGCAAATATGATTGTATCTGGCAGTGCTATTATGAAGAGCGCAGATCCAAGATCTGTGATCAATCTTCTAAGGAATGTGTGTTCAGAAGCAGCTCAAAAGCGCTGTCTGGATCGGTGAGACCTACCCAAGCGGTGTTCAAGAAGGCTCTGTGTGTGCAGGAGAACCCTTGTTTCTCGTGTGTAAGGGAGGGCTGGATGAACATTAATTGCGGAAACTCGTTGCTGCTGAACAGAGGAATCATTCCTTCACTGCAATGAAGCAAGCAGCAGTGAAAAACATTCTGGCTGTCTTTCAGGGTTGAAAAACGCAATGGTTTGAACCTGTCTCTTGATTCTGTGGAGGCTAATTTTATGGCACAACCTATAACGCTGACTGGATTGAACTAAACTTCAGTCAGTTTTTGCTTACTAGAAGAGTGTAGCATCACCACAAGCAATCTCTCTTGGGGAAGACTCTAATCAAACTGCCTTCTCCTGTCTGTATTTTGTCATTTGATCTGTGCATTCCTACAAAACTTTTCCAGTATCTGCATTAAACACCCCTCCCTTGGTGTGGTAAGTCTCCTTTAAGCTGTCAAAAATGCATGGTTTTGGGAGTAAGTCTGGGAAAAATGCAGTTTAAGAAGAGGGCTAAAAAAATCCCACAGATGCTAGTAATGTTCCTTTGTTTTGCTTTTACTGCACAGAAGGACTTGACCTACATAAGTCAAGTCAAGCATCAAACAAGAAGTCCAGTGCAACCTCTTTACCAGGTTACAAGCTGGGAAATACTGTCTCAATTTACCTTTCTTTCAACAGCCAGCTGTGTCTGAAATTCCTGGAAGTGATGGGATTCCATGGAAGAATGTTGCTTTAAAACCCTACAGATAGATAGTTAAAAAACTTTATCTTGTCCCACAGTCTCCTTGGTTTGTACAGATGCCCGAGTAAGAAAGACAGCGACATCCAGGAACGTTAATCTGCTGAAGTGATTTCAGCGTATGTAGGCTGAAATGCACTGCGTGGAGATGGCTCTGTGAAACAGCTTGGTTATAAAGCCAGATACTTTTCATACCTTCAGTTTTCTTGGGCTGACTTCACAGGCTGGCCTGTTTGGACATGCGAAAGGCAAGAGTTACAACCCACTAGAGGAAGACCCAAGCAGGTCATTTTAGATGGCCCTGCCTCCCATGGCTCTAATTAGTCCTTTAATATTTCATGGTATGTTGCGTGGTGTTTTTCCTTTTAAGTTGCAATTACAGAAGAAGGGTTGCAAAGGTCTGCTGCCCCAGGAACAGCCCAGAAGACTCAACAAGCTACAGCCAGTCCATTTCCACAAGGCCAAAGTCAAATCTGTTGACCTTGCAGCAAAGCTGGGCACATGTCACCTAGCAGATGGTGAGGCAGCACTAGAGCTGATGCGCCCCTTCTTATAAGCCCAGGAGCTGCCAGCTGTCCCACAGATAGGCCTCTGCTCTGCGGCTGTGGAAGGAGACGGCTGTGGTACAGCCTGGGTCACTGCCATTGTTAAGTAGGAGGAGGCAGGGCTAGTTCAATCTAGACAAGTGTCTGAAATGCCTGAACTACTACTTTTTCCTGTGTGGTTAATTGTGGTTTAGGTGAATAAATGTCTTTGCTTCCTGTTTCCCCTTGCAACTCCCATTTGAGAACTAGCAAAAGAAAAGATGAGTCATCTGGAGCTGCTGCACTGAGGACATCTTTCAGAAGAGGTTTGCCAAAAGAAAACTTGGCTAGGAAAGGTAATAGTCTAAATGGCTGTTAGATGTTTTAAAGCAGTTTATTCATACTTCTGGAAAGAACATGTGTAGAGTCTAATAGAGTGTGCACAGAGAAACTGTCATGGCTCTGGGATCTAGAATGCAGGCCAAGCAGCCACAAATGGGTGATGAAAGTGTTAGTTTAGGATTTGGAAGCGTGGCTTTTCATGCTATTGAAAGCAGCAGGACAGCAGCTGTAGTATCCTTGCCTCCTGCAGTTGGCCTTACACTGGTTTTTGAAAGGGTAATCAAACTATTTCTGCCTTTTTTTTCTAATTAATGGCGGGGCAGGGGGGGCAGACATCCCAAAGTCATGCTGGTTAACTGACGATACTATGCTTTGTTCTGAGCATAGAACCTACAGTATATTTTCTTTCACAGGTTGTAGTCACTTTGTAATTGTTTTAAATCTGGTAGCTTGCACTTCCATTGACATTCAGGTTAGGAGTGTTGTGGGAGAGAGAGAAATTACACTCACAGTAAAATTACTCAATTGCTTTTTTCAATCTAAATCCCACCCAGGTGGGTTTATGCAGCTGGCTACTACTGCAGCAGCTTTTTACACATCTAAGGTTAAATCTATTAGTGACCACAGAGCATCCATGGCAGTAACAGTAATGATACTTGGTCTTCTAATGCTTAAGACTGCTCCAGTTCCTCGCCTCTATACATTAACAGAAGTATGGCCTGTCCTCCTGTACTTGGTAACATAACCCCAGAGCAGAAGCGCCACAGCTGCAGGACTTGAACCAAACACTGACATGAAAACCAAAAGAGCTGCTTGCCTGGTATCCACAGGGGCAAATAAACCCCAGGACCGTTAGATGTTGCAATACCCTGATAAAGCAGTTTCAGCAACAAGGGAGAGCACAGTCTGGTGATAGTTAAGTCACATGGTCTAGAGCAGTGATCTGACAGAGCAAAGGCTCTGTCTGCACTGGAAAACAGAATAAAAGAAACTCTGATGTAGCCGAGCTGGGCTTGGATGTGTGTTCCACAGGGTGGTACAGTGCACATCCCTGAGCAAGATAAAAAACTGCAGTAGAGACACACAGAGCTTAATTTTAATAAGGCTTAGAAGTTTGTACTTACATTCCATTAAGGTCCTGGATGCAGAGATGAAGCGTTTAAACTCGCATAGCAGCAAGGTGCAGAACATAAGCGGCCTTAAAAAAATGTCTCAGTTGAAAATGGTAAACAAAGCACAAGGGAAATGGCTTGCTTTCTGGAGCTGCAACCCCACTTTCATGCGGGGTGGGGGGGCGGGGCTTGCAGCATTATATTAAGTTGGTATTGCACAGTCAGCCTTTGTAATACCTTCAGCCACAACATTAGCAGTGCTGACAGCTGTTTTCATAGCTTAACAGCCAAAAGACAAACAGGTTGGTTTTGTTTTTTTTTTTTTCCTGTTGTTTAAAACTTTGAAAAGGAAAGAAAACAAGCAGAGGTTTCTTACACATTTTATGGCTTTCAAGCATGAGCCTGGCTTTGAGCTCTCAGCCCTCTTCCGCCACTAGTAGCTTCCTCACAACCCCAACATTCATGCAAAAACTGGCCTGGAGGTAGGAGTCCAGCTCTGCAGGGAAAAGGGCTGCAGGCAATAAATGAGTATAATAGTGCCAATTCCAGCTACATGCAGCACAGGGAAAGAACATGAAAGGAGGGGGCTGGGCATTAAGTGCTTTTGCTAACCTTGTCCCAGTAGTGAAATGGGGCTACTGAAAAATCAGGTGCCCCTCTGGCTGGAGCAAAGATGCACAGTGCCTGGTCTGCTGCAAGAAGGTGGCAAATGATGAGAGGTGCTGTGGGTGAGGAGCAGCCTGGGGCTTCCCAAAAAGCATCTCACTTGACATGTGTGCACAGGGTTCCCCATCTGCCCCTGCCAGATGCAGGACTGCTGGACGTAGGCAGGTGACACGAGAAAAGCAAATGCAGCCTGTTCTTCATCACCCCTCCCCACCGACCTTTGCCTGCCACACTTCCATGTGCCGCTCACCTGATGGCAGAAGCCTGCACACCACTAACACTTGGAGAACAGCCCCATGGCTGGGGCATGGGGAGGAAGAAGTGCTCTGGCACACTTGTCTGGCCATGCAGTCACTCAGGCAGCTTTGTGTGAAGGCAGCTGCAGTTTGCTGTCACAGGTCTAACCAGCTGAGAGGCAGATGTTAGAGAAAAGAGTTCTGACAGTGATGGGGTAGGGTTATGACCAAATGGACATTTTTATAGTTTCTCCAGGGATTTTTTTTTTTTTCCAGTCTGCCTGGCCTTTCTTTGGCTAGCTTTTTTATTGCTGCCTTGTGAGGCATTAGCTGGTTCCCACAATGGCTGACAACATCTGAAGAGGGGACAAAGAAAACATGCTTACCCTTGCTCCTATCGATAACCACTTGTGCAGCCCCTGCAGCTGGCAAGGTAACAAGCAGCTGCTCTAGACCAGCACACTGGAGCCTCACCCAAAAGCAACACAATAGTTCAGCAGCACACCACAGCAGGGAACTGAACAGCAGTGCAGGAACAGCTTTACAGTCCACGAGGCTGACCAAACTTGGGTTAATCCAGCTCTTTTCACACAGGTTTTTTCAGCCTCATTTTAACACCCTTCCCTTCCCTTCCCACCCCCCAATCTAGAAAAACACTCTCCTCTTGCTCCTTCCCGTAAAATGCTGGACTGCATTTCCATTTCCTGACGGCACCTTCAGGACACGTTAAGGCAGCTAGGCAGCTGGTTTACTCCGTCTGTCCCATCTCTTAAATTACAGAAACTCCTCACGCTGCCCCAGGGATCAGACAGAGCAGGAAGCCCTGACCTTACAACAAAGCTGGGTGAGAGCTGGTCGGATCAGGCTTTTTAATGAACAGAGATGGGTATGGAAAAGACCTGCAAAGCATTTGAGACACATAACTTTCAGAAACCTTTTCCCAGCAGCAGATGCACATGCAGGACAAGAGAGATGGAAAAATCCACCTCTCTGTTGAGACGCTGAGGGGGACCTCAGCCTCACAGCACTGGCGGAGCTTTGGTATGACAGCAAAGCTTAGCGCTGCTGCTGCTTCAGTGTGTTCGCAAAGCCATTCTTGGGCGAAGCAGGTCTCTGTGCCAAGAGGAAGCATTACTGCTATTTCTTCACTTCTAAAAGGCCATCAAATTCAGACTATATACAACATATATAGAAATAACTTTTAATTAAAAAACCAACCTTGCATCAAAGATTATTGTATCAGACATTGAGGCAAGATTCAAGTTTAAGACAAACCAGTGTTAAAAAAGTGTTTAAAAAAATAATCAGAATGTGCAATAAACTACAATGTAGCAATAGGTTGTAGTGTTGAAACTTTACTGAACTGTTTTCAGATGCCCAGTGTATATTTGCTGTCATTTTGACCAAAAAAAAAAAAAAAATTGACACTAAAACTGGGTCATCTGTCCAGTGCCATTCCAGATATTACATGTGGAAGAAAATTTTGCACAAAAACAGAGACTCCTATTAAATTGCCTTCAACTGTCCTACACAGAAAAACCTCCTGTTGATGGATTATACCTACATTCAATGTTTAATCTTTGTTAATACCTCTTGAGATTGCAGATACATTCCAAGCTATGCTATTCAGATGCAAGTTTAAACAACTTGCTTTTGTTTCCTCACTGTGAACTCACTGGGAAATTAAAATTCTATCCAGAATCACAATGGAAAGCTTTGGGGCTTTTTTCTTTATTGGTCTTCTAGACATCAGTGATCTTTCCCTTTTCAGCTAGTCACCAAATGTTGGCATACTTATGAGACTCTTACAAGGCACTGTACAGAAACTGGAACGAGACTTTGTCTTTAACATATTAAAGCAAAATATTATGAGCCTCATTACTACTGGAGGACCAAGGAAGTTAAGATGACCCAAACCACAATATTCCAAGAGCTGCGTCACTGATTTGACTCGATTCCTCCTTCCTTCCATTTCTCTATACCCACACGACTGAAGCAGAAACCCTACTTTCTGAGTAGCAGATATATCGACTATTGAAATGCAGTGGTCTATTTCTATCTTATTGCTTGAGGGACATCTATATGAAACATGCCCTGGCACTACAGAGAGCTGAGTACAGATTTTAAGCTAGATGCAAGGCTTCCAGAACGCCTGCTTTGAAACTGCTGGTTCTCACCTACCCTTACCTTACACACAGATTACACACATGCATTTAGAGAGGCAGATTTCTGCCCCATGGTCATGCCACACAGGAAAATAATCTGAGGCTATCACTTCTCCTCACTATTTTTTCAAGTAGTTTTTCTGTGGTCAGTTGAAGTTGTTGGTTAAGGTAGACAGCATCTCCTGCTGCAACAGAATCCACCAGAACCAGAAATGCATTTGAAAACAAACAAAACAGAAAAGGATGATTATTAATAGATGTGGCAATATGACAACAGAAAGTGAATGGTGCCAGCAATTTATGTGTGCCCACTCCCGACATTGGGAATATTAGACTTCCAGCTTGAAATAATTACTTTCTCTTGGGGTTCAGGAAGAAGAAAGTGTTGTCTTTGGGATTTATCCTGCCTGTTACAAAGCAAGAAAGAAAATATATTATATGCAGCTAACGTACAGGTTTTGAATTGTGCTGTCATATGCTGTGTGAACAAGAGAGATTTTACCTTACACTTTTCTCCACCTTAATTGGCTTTCTTAATGAACTACATTATTCCCTGTCACCTTTGTTTTCTTGTATTGTTGATTCCCAGGCAAACGTTTTCGCAGTCTTCTGGCTCTTCAGTAGATTGTCTTCTTGGTGGCTGGCCATTGTCTGGCAAACCAATGGGTGTGCATGAAGTACAGAGAGAGTCGCTGCAGAAAGCTGCACTTGACATTTCAGTCTGACTCGTTATTTGATCTTGGCACAGTAAAGCTTCTACCTCTTCATCTTTTAGTGGAAAAACTCGAAGTTCCCACAGCCCAGACTGAAAGGAATCAGAAGGGTAGAAGTGAGGGTGGAAAAAGAGAAAAGAGGGGGAAAAAGGGATTTCAGTGGAGTCTGAACTGATTAGCTATGTGCAGAACAATCTGCTATCAAGTGACAAATGAGTGTCTGTCTTTACGATGTTTGCAGGGCACCGGCTGTCAATGTAAGCTAGCTTCATAGAGTTTTGAACTAGTAACAGAGCTACAATTGAACAAGCACAGTGCAGGAAGGGGGAAGCTCTTTTCCATGGTGCCAGACCATCAGGATACCTGACCCCATAAGCATCAGGCCTGTCTAGAACCCTGGCCAACATCCCTGAAAAAAGATCTAGCATTCCTGAACCCAGGCCTGCCGTACTCGCCTCAAAAACACATGCCGTGTGTACTGAGCAATGAAATTTTTACCTGTTGACAAATCTTGGGCTTAATTCATAAAGCACACCAATATAGTTCTAAACAGGAGCGCTACGTTCAGTCTACATAAACTAGGGGGACAGCCTGAGATTCTGATCAGTGAGACAGGAGGATATGGTCAGGTTCTTTGTTTTAGGTTAGAGACAGTGGTCACTGAAGACCTGACCAGACCCAGAAGCTACTGGAAGCACCCACCTTCGCTTCCTGGCTCTCCCTGCAGAGTTGTGCAATCCCTGAACCAACAGAGCTGTGTGCTTCTGACGTCAAGTCGGGAACAGGTTCAGCAGCGCAAGGCAGCGGGGCACAGGAGCTGCTGTGGTGGTCTTTCTGCACCGAATCTTGGCTGTGTCGTCCGTAAGATCTAATGCAGGATAAGAGATGAGAGCCTTAAGAGCTACTCCCTGCCCTTTCACATCGCCAGAACAGTGTAGATTTTCTTTTCAGTGCTCTGTTTCTCCATACATGCTACCTACATTTTACTTATTTAAATCAAGAGAGCAGATGAAAACATGGTTCTTAACAACCTCATTGTCACAAGCCAGAGCAAAGCGTGCTACGTGGACGGGCTAACCAGCTAAAACAGGTCTGGTACAGGCACAGTCCGGCTGCAGGACAGCTGGTGGCTGGTCCCACTCCTGCACCTTGCTCCACACCCTCATCAGAACTGAAATTTTGGACAAGAGAAGTCAGCGAGCCATGGGCTGTTCCCACGCAGGAGAACATGGCATCATTTGCAGGAGCCTGCCGAGTCCAAACTGCACCGTCAGCAGACTGTGCCAATGTAACCTGAGAAGAAACAGCAGGTCCTTGGGCTCCCCGTTCCCACCTCTGCTCTGGACTCATTTCCAAAGCAGTCAAAATAATTCAGTAAGATTAAAAATTTTGATCTCACCTTTAATGCACATTTGAACTAGATGTAAAATACTGGCATGCATCTTAAACGCCAGGTGGAAGTCTGGCCTTGCTCATATCAATGGCATTTCTTCTGAATTCAAATAGCACAAAGATTTCACCAAGGGGTTCATAGTTTCAAAATTAAGGGTACGTATAGAACTTGTATTTTTCTGTACACTTTCTAAAGCTTTTTTTTATGTTCAAAATTGCTTAAAATAGAATTCCTTAATATGGTTTAGCTCTAATTTTATCCTGCATTAAAAAAAGCTCTCTTTGCATAGTTATTCATAGTGTCATGGTTCACTTTCAGCCAAGAGTAGACACAAGCATATGATAAATAGCAGAAAAAGTTATCCCTGCATTTATAGGATGCTTCTTGTCCTGGCAGATTCTGAAGCAATTTATGGGAATCCCTTTCCCAGAGCCAAACTGCAGATGCACTGCTTTTTGCAAGACTTTTAGGGGTTATATTTAATTCTCATGAGTTTTGCACCGGCCAGCAAGTCTGTGAGAATTAACCTTTTTCACACAATGACTTTTTAAAGTGTAAGGTCCCTGGCACAGCCCAGGACCCTTCAGTAACGCGCCTCTGAATACAGTGGACTTTCATCTAAGGTGAGTGAAGTTACACTTGGTGGCTAAAGTCGTAATAACTGGGAGTGGCAAAAACTAGCCCAGCTATGTGTTCAGTATGGGAGTAAGATTTTTATTCACCAATACCAGGTCACTAACATGCCAAATTTCTGTAAGTATGTGTGCTTCAGAACTGCCTTCCCTTTCCAGCCACAAAACCAAACATACCTGGTACTGGTCCCTGATGAGTTAATTAATGAAGAGTGCCCTCATTTTCAAACTCCTCTGTGACAGCATTTCTGAAACTGCTGCACCAACAACCAACACCAGTGGTTCAATAGAAGTGCTCTTATCAAAGTCAATACACTTGCCTGCTATTCCTTCTGGGCCAGCGGCTCTGCTCCCACAGCGACCACCTTGCTCGCTCTCTTTCTTCATACTTTGTATGACGTAAGGAAAAAACTTCATCTGACAGATCTTCTATCTGTAACGAAATAAGGGATAGCTGCTGCCATAATTATGAACATTGCTAGAAACAAAGGCAGCCATTATTACATATAATTCTGCAAAGGTCTGTTCACCAAACAAGAGGCAGCAACACAAAGCATGGTTGCAATATAAAGGCACATCAAAATACACGCATTCAGCTTATACTCTCACTAGAGCTCTAGTATATGGGATACTGTCACTTTTGCTTTATTTCTTTGCATGTGTGTGGTTGATCTGAATGGATACAGAAATTATACCCCCCATGCAATGAACACATTTTTCTCTATGGTGAGAGGCAGAAAATTAAGAGGACAAGTATCCATTTGCAAATCAAGGCAGTATTAAAAGCACATAATAAAGACAAGCAAAAATTCCAGGAGTTTCCAGAGACTGCTTTAGGAGGAGGCTGGGACCTGGCAGCAGAATTTGCCAGGTGTTCTTTAAGCACGGAGAAATAGGTCTGAGATCACCAACTTTGATAGCTCCACATTGAGAGGAACTCAGCAAACCTGAGGTGCTGCATTCCTGCTACGAAACCAAGCAGAAAATAGTTTCTGCATTGAAGAGACTATTTCTTAGCAAATGACTTGCACAACCCCAGTACAGCTTTAAACAGCCCTAATGCGAGTACCTCAACTGCCTGTAGTCAAACAAGAGCCAGCTTTTTTGGTAGAACTCCCCAGATGTAGCTATTGCATCTGACCTTCACTTTGAAAGAACCATCTTCATTTTTCCATTGGCAGCACAACAGGAAGTTTGCTCCTTAGACACAGCTGTTTGCTGCCCTTCCCCCTCACTCCCCAAATGGCAAGGCAAGCTCTTGGCTGGACCCCTCCAGCACAGCTCAGAGTTAGTTCAAAGTGCTCCATTCAGCCTCTTCAAAGTTCAGCTAAAAAGCTAAGGCTGGCAAGAGCATACAAATGCTGCAGCCATGAATTTTATGCCAGCCACTTCCAACTGAAAAACAGAGAAATTCTAGGAAAGAACAATTCCTGGTCATAGCAGCTGTGGAGCTGCACTGCCAGATCAGTCCTGGACAAGAATTATACCAATAATTGGGGGGTCATGGAAAATAAAATTAATTTTTTCTATAAAGCAAAATCCTCAGCAGTGTTATACAAGTAACACCATTTATCTTCCGACTGAGTCTGATAAAATACAGAACCAAATGCAGAGTCCTCACTGCAGTGCCAGATAGCGCCATACAATGTCAGCTGGAAGTACTCCAGACAACTAACGTCCCTGAGGTTTTCTGCAGAAGCCATTCTTTGTATCAAGTCTTGCAGCACTGAGGTAGTTCATGACCATTATGGGTACAAAAGCAAAGTATTACAATGCATTTGTGCTGCTGTAAACTATCTGTTAGTGGCACTCAGCTTGCCAGAGAGCACATTTCCAGCCTAGGTGGCTGGTCATGAACTACAGCACCACAGTGAAATTTAATGGGGCCAACGAAAAGGGTCCCAAAGGCTTCAGTGCGATCCGAATCGACCACAGGACCTGCTTGCTAAAACTGTAGCTGTGCGGTTCCTCCTCAGCCCAGCACTCAACAGGAACCTTCAGACAAACAGGCCTGCTTTGTTTGCCCATCTCATGACTGCTTTTTGAAGACTCCTCATTGCTTTTATTTATTTATGTTAAACACAAACCACTTTGTTAGCTGCTGGTTTCCTTTCATGCAAGTTAACTTAATTGGTTTCCTCCTCTCAGAAATTCACCAGCTCTGTCACTTGGATGGCATCAGTATGGGGCTGCATCTCAGTTCAGATTCTGTCTTTCCAAGGTCAATGAGATATAACGTGAAAGCGAGAATTTTATGAACTACAAAAGTGCTATTCCCTCAGGGAAAAGTCAGGATTTTTCTGTGTGCTCAGATTTCCTTTGAAGTGGAAACAAAAGATAATTTTGAAAGAAAAACTTAGACTTTGAAAATAGTTTTCTTAGCAAATTGCCAAAACTTTTCATGCTGGGAAGAAACTTCATTTTTAACAAGCTTCCTTTCAAAAATCAAAGTCCACTTTCCTCTCCAAGCGAAGAGTTTTGAAAAATACAGAAATAAGCCTTAATGTTCCTTTTCTATAGCTGGTGATAGCAGACTTAACTACTTGTTTATTTAAAATGAGTTTTATCCCATGCCATTGAAGACTAGCACGTAATACATTTCCTTATTTAAAAATTATTCTTTATTCTATGGATAAAATCACATTACATCAGAGTAAAAGGTCTCTACTTGGTTCAATACAGCCTCTGCCCCTCCCCAGTTTTGTAATGCTTTATATTTTCCTCCACCAATTTTAGGTTAATTTAAAGTTGCTGTAACTGGAGAAATTTGATTTTTTTTTCCCCACTAAGGTTAGTTTGAAAAAGGACAAAAGAACTGTCATTCCTTGGTGGATGGATCTGGCAGTGATGTTGAGAAAAAAGACTATTAGGAAGGCCTGTTTGTGAGGCATGTCTAATGATTTCACTCAAAGAAAAAGACTTAAAGCAAACTAAGGTTTGGATCCCCCCCGCATCACATCTAGTTAAGCTACAAGACACTATGCATTGATGTTGAATAGCACCAGGAGTATTTCTGAAAGGTTCTCCAAACAACAAAGTCTGTGTTTCAGTCTTTGGCTTCACAGGAAAGACTGAGTCATAAGCCATGAAAACACTTATGCAAAACTAATTACACACAGAATTATTCCAAAGTATTTGTCATTACTAAAACAACTACAAAATAAACTTGAACATTACTTTACAACTGTGCCTTGCCAGAAACTTTAACCTGGACAAAACAAATTAAAAACAAAATAAAACAGGAAAACCCATGCCACACCCTCCTATGCCTTAAAGCAATAACAGACTGCAAATTCATACATGCAAACCAGGAAACTCAAATGCTCTATTTCAAAAAACTAAGTATTTTTAGAGCAAGTAATAGAGCAGACATAGACAGTAGATTAACTTTTGCATTGCCCAACTGTTATGTTTGTCCTTGTAAGGCAAAATTTCCAGAAACAAAAATTAGGCACCCAAAAAAGGTAAGCTTTTTGTGTTCAAATAAATAGGCCTGATTTTCAGAAAGTGCCAAGTTCCCATCCTTGGAAGTGTGGCTCCTGTAGAACACGACAAATTTGGGACTACACATTTTTTTGTAACTTGTGGAAACTTTGGGTGCAAGTCTATTGCATGGATACAGGTTGTTGCATTCAAAGCCTTTAAATGAAGAGGGAAGGAGGAGTGGAAGAAATCCCTAACTGCTGGTTGACACAAGGACAACTCCAGAACTTTTAAATTTAGCCATGCAGAAGATAGGCAGAAAAGAAACCATTATACCACCACAGGCTACTATGCAGTGGAAAGCAAAGAAAAAGCTTACTTTTATATAAAAGCAAGAAGTACATTTTGCCTTCTCTTGTCCTTCACGAATGATCTACTGAAGCTTTCCTTGATTTCAGTACCATGGATAATGTCAAGAGTGTCACAGCGTGAGTGCACAAAATGCAAAAAGGTAATGCTGCTGTTTTCTCATGTCTTTTTTCAAGCTTACTCAGTAACAAACCTAACTCAGTCTAAAACCTAAAGCAAGGAAGTAAAAGAATTATGATCAGATAACCACCTTTTCTCAGTACTCTGAAAAACATCCAAACCAATTAACACGATCCTAAAAGGCGGAAAATTTGGCAAAGGATGATTTACACAAACAAGATCTTTAGCATTTTTCTGTTGTCTGACATTTCTCCTCTCTCGTTCTACCCAGCAGCTGACAGACAATACAGAAGCAGTGGACCACAGCAGGAGGCAAAGCTGCTTTATTGTTAACTCAAGTCATTTCCTGCCCAAAGGATGAATCATACAGGATCAACTAGTCATGCCAAACACAAATGTACTGACAGGGCTACTAAACAAGGAATTAGCCTATGAGCTTCACAGAGACACCTTGAAGTCCCTTCAGCAAAATACGCTAAAAGTACGTGAGACAAGTCATCTGTATGGGATCTGAAATCTAAACAAGAAATCCACTGAGTCTTCCAAGCAAGTCCCTTGAAGCCCTGAAGGCAAATCACTGTTGAAAATTTTTTTTTTCCCCATAGATACCAGGATGGAAGGCAATGAACAGTAGATTCTCAAGGGACTGTGTGCCCTTGCTGCCTTATTAGTTATTCTCCAAATGGTTTAATTAAATATCCTTGCAGGAGAGTTCTCCTGGGTATGTAATTTGACCTTCTCACTACTAAAGAAGATCAGGCATGTTTCCTGCTAGCAGAGTCGGTACCAAACCAAAAGGTGGTGGAGGTGACATAAATCTGACCACCAGATTTCACAAGAATTTCTTAAGTGCATGAGAAAAGGCAGGGACAGAGTAAGTTTTTCTCTTCCTTCTGACCCAAGAGTACAGTGCCAAATGAGTGCAACTACACCAGGTAGGGAGCTGAGACCATGGTGCTCTCCAAAAGGAAAGGTTCATTTCCATGGAGCAGGCAGCTACAGACCTAGCAAAACTCTGTGGAAGCTAGCGCCTTTGGGGAGAGTGTATTTTTTTACCCCAAGGGAGTGGCATAATGATTTGTTTACTGTGTTTAGCATAACCGTCTGTACTGCTACCCAAATGCGATCTTTTTCTACTACTAAGGCACCTAAACCCTAGTTCTAGAAATTCTCTGAAAAAGGAGCTCAAGAACAGATATTGTAGATGAAGGTACAAATACAAGTCCTACAGTTACAAGAGTTGCTAGTGGCCTGTAGCAGACACTGGAGGGAGATTAGAGATGTCCAAAGGACACCAAAACTTGCAGGTTTCTAGAAAAGGAACCACAAAAAAGATTGGAAGGACAGAAGACCAGCCTAGAGACCAGACCTGCTGGTACATTCACACTGGGATTAGGAAATGCCTTAAACCCCTGATTAGGGGAGAAAGGGACCCCCAGCTGCAAAGTCCACAGACATTCCCTGGAAGAAAAAGGTAGCTGCTTATGTCTGGAGGAACCAACAGTAGCACACGATGTTCAAACTTAGCCCAAGAGGTAAGCAGGAAATGCTGAAGGTTACGTTGTTCCTGACAAAGCAGAAAGAAAAAAAGTTTGGTCCCAACAGGAGGGTTGCAGGAAAACGAACACCGAGAAGAAAACTGAGAAAACCTGCTGGGCCCACAGGCAAAATGCCAAATTACCTCCTGAAGAGCAACAGGCCATGGGAACTGGCCACGGAAGAAGAGGATGAGAGAGGACAGACGTTATAGCACAGGCAGCCCCGAAGAGACAGTCGCAGTGGGAGACCCAGAATCACAATGCCCAGGAGCAGGGGAGGTGGAGGCCTGACCAAAAGGACCCTTTGGGAGTGCTGACTGTGCCGACAGCAAGGGACAGAACAGCCAAAGGAACAAGTGACAACAATTATTAATGGAGACACTCACACTTCTGTCATCCACCATCGGGTCAAGTAGGTTGGGATAAGACACATTTTCACAATCTGCTACTTAATACTTTATTTTTGAAATTTGAAACTTACCAGGATTTGAACAAAGTCAGTGACTTTGGATACATACCGATTATCCCAATTATGTATTATATATTATATCTAGTTTAATTAAAAACTGGTGGTTTAATTAAAATACAGCCTACCTCTTCTTCATCTGTATGAGATCTTTCTAAAGGTTGAAATTCAACAACTCTCCAGCTAGAAATGAGACAAGAAAAGTCAAATTAATTTACCTAAATGCTGTTTCATTATTTCAGCAGTAGAGATGACTCTTCTGTTTCTACACTACATTGGTAGTTTCTCCTCCTTCAACGCTGGGTGTGCTTCAAAATTTCTTTCAAATAAAATAATTTCAAATTTAAGGTGCTGATAACAGGTGCCCAAAATTTAGATTTTCCTTTCCCAACCCAGTATCTAACCTTTCCTTTTCCTAACACAGTCTTTAAGCTATCCAACAGAGTCTTAATAATATTTTTAGCTTTAAAGACAATATAAAAACAAATACAAATTAGAGATTTAAAATATGGAACAATTGCATTTGGCCATTTCAGGCAATTTGCTAGTAAACCACTGAATTACAGCACAGGAGATCAGTTACTCTGTTTTAGCAATCTAAAGACGTTGTTCTTCTAAAAAAAGAGATGTCTCTAGAATCATGGATTATAGGTTTACACTGTATGGAAAAAATTAAGCTTATTCTACTGTATCAGAATGGATAAATTTTTAAAATATATGCTAAAGCCACTTCTGTTTAATTCACTGAAAATAGTTAACTATTTTATTATGAACCATAACCTACAAAAAAAGACAGCAACCTCTAAACAACCATTCGGAGCATGTCAGCCTTATGGCACATTTAAGGCCATGAATATCACTACAATTAAGATGATATAAATCCACTTCTATTTTTAGCCAGTCGGTGCATCTACCACCTCACTGTGTGTATCACACTATTTCCCTTGTGCTATCAGCTGTCCAGTCTTCCCACCAGTCCAGTCACACAAATTGAAGTGCACAGAAAAAACCCCGAGCGCAGGAAAAGATCACCTTAACATAAAATTATCTAACTACATGTTAATAATATTCTTAGTTAAGTTCTCATGTTCATTTTGGTATCTTCTTTGCAACTAAGGAGTTCACAAACAAACCTTGGGGTAAGGATTTCTTTGTACTGTAGTTTCTCCAACTTCGATGGTGCCACCAGTGACATTGGAATAACAATGTTGTCTATATCATAGGAGCTTTCACTTCTCAACCTCCTCCTGGAGTTATGCTGTATAATATAATCAATAAGAGAGGAAATTCATCAGCTCAAATCATAGGAACTACATGTTAGCTAAGAAACATTAAAACTGCACGAGAAGAAAGTCTGTAACTTGAACACATTTTCTAGTGGTTGAATGACTTCTGACTGCCTCTCCCTGATGGAATCTCAACAAATCTTAAAATTATCTCATCTCTGAGATTTACTTCTTGCTGGCATAATGCTTACTGAAATCAGTGGGAGTCTCCCTTCCTTGATTTCAGTTACAATTAATTGTGAATTTTGTAAGAACTTTGAAGTTAATGCTGCCTTCTCCATAATGTTCAGTCTACAAAGATGACCTTCTATAATATATCTACTAATGCATAACCCAAGTGGTTCTTCAGCATGATACAATTAAGAATTCCAAAAGAATGAAGCTACATTTAGCAGCAACGAACAGCTTACAAGGGAAGTGGTTTTCTGAAAGACATGCAAAAGACAGAAACTGAATTTCTTTGCTGTGATCATAGTAGGATTCCTGGTGGTGTTCTTTGCCCACTAGTGCATGGAACCTACATGGGTCAAAACCTTAAGTTCCTCGATTACAAGAGAAAGTTTAGTTTTAAATCATGATACATTCCATATTACAAGATCTCAATTTTTAGCCAAACGTCAGTGGAAACAGGCTATTCTAAAACATTCATTTAGGTGTTTTTTGACAATGGTCTGCTCAAGCAAGGGAAAAAAGGAGGAGTGTGCATTGTCAAAACTGCATAGGGGACACAGATTTAAACTCAGTTCTCCAGGAGTCATCACCAGATTGAATCATGACGACTTACAGAGCACCAGTATACCACTAGGCTCAGCAGAACCGTGGGACTGAAATCTCAATATTATTATGAAATTCTCAATGAATTCGAATAAAACTAAGTGTGTTTCTGGAGGGACTTCACTGAACCAGAGCTCTGCTGCTGCTCAGCAAATTTATATACCTGAGACTTTGCCTGTAGTTCTGCACAAAAAGTTTTAAATAGTGAACCTGAGCGTTAACAAGTTCTGTGACTGTATTTGCACCATGAGGCCATTTTATGTAGCTGCACCAAGAAAAAAGAGTCATAAGATCCCTTGTGTAAAATTCGGAACATAAATCACAGTATTTTTAATTCAACTTGGAAAAAAAAAAAAAAATAATGAAAGGCCCAATGCCAATAAACTAAATTTACACTCCAGTTATATGATCTGCAAAATTCTTTTACAAGCAAGTATCTGTTTTAGGAACACCACATACTCAATCTGGAATAAATTACTTAATGTAATCCACGTAATTCACTGTAAAAATGCTCTGTACTGTAATTTAACACTAAATTAGATGTAAAAGGCATGTGGTTTTGGATTATTGATTTGCACAACTCTCTGTTGATATTTCAGTTAAGACAGCGATACACTTTTGGTTTACCTGTGATGAAGTGCTGTGAGTGGGCCTAGACATCGCATTGACATTGGTCATGGCAGCAAAACTGCTATGGGATTCTGGTTCTGCATGTTGAAAGGAGAATGTCTCAAACCTACCATTACGTTCGCCTGTCACAAAAAATAAGAAAAATGCATACCGACTGTTGTCTATTAGACTAAAGATATTTTTCCATACAGTAATAGTAAAGTCATTTCTAGAAGCCCACAGCTAACCACTTACCATTTACTGAATACTAAAAAAAGCCATCTAAATAAACACTTGCTACTCATCCTGTCATTGTTGTTCACAAAAATCATCCCTCTCCTTCTACAATGCATTTCTTCTTGTGGAACCAGGTTCATACTGGCAAACGCTGCTTCTTTTTTCAGGAGCTGCCACGGACTACACACACAGCAAATGCAGTCAGACTTAGAAGAACGCTCCCCAGTGTTCCCTAACAGCGCTTCCCTAGCTGGGGTGCATCTCACTCACATACCAGTTCACTGAGCCCTCACTGATGGTTTCTTCCTTCCTAAATGATAAAACAAAACTGGCAGCAAGGGTAACAAAATTAGTTTCTAGACCTCCATGTGCAGTTTCTTCTAGTAGTGGTCCACTGCTCCAGACAAATCGTAATTCTTGTTTACTCTTATTCAGTCCCAGTATAAGCAGCATTTAGGGGGATTCAGAATTTAACCACCTGTGTTCTGCTTTCCTTCTACCTTAATTTCCAATAACAAAAGAGAACTCAGAGTTAACATACCAACTAATAAAAAGAATCAGTGTATTCCAACATGGAAAAAGAGGTAAGACTGATCCTAAAGACTGTATTGCATAGGCTGGGTCGAAGACATGAACTCTCATCTCCCACGCAGCTCTGCAACTCCCTGGCACACAGCTTTTATTTTTGGCCTTGTTCATCAGGCTGACCTTCCCCATGGATGACCTCTCCTAGACAGCGCCCAAATTAGGAATAAATATGTAGTACTACACCCGTAGCACTAATAAGCTAGAACTTCTGCTGCCACTCATGAATATATCACATAGTGGTTTTCTGGCATTGGGGAAACTATGATCCTCGTGATAAAAGATTGCTTTCTTGTTCCATTAACTCAAAGAACTAAATACTATTGGCAGAAGACTAATTGTAACTTCAAAAGGTTTACAGCAAGAAGTTTTCTCTCTTACTAGTGCTCCCAAGCAACTCCAATTGTTGATCTCAGTGTGCATGACAGTACGCTTAGGGAAACAATGTGGTTGCAAGAAACACTGTGTCAGCATCCGCCTTTTGGGGACCAGTGACTGGTTAGGGGAGTGGGTAGCATGGAAAAAAGGACTACTGATGGCGACAGGGGACAAGGCACAGCACCCCCGTGCAGAGACAGACACAGAGCGTAAGAGAAGGCTGTAGAGCAAAGGGGAGGACTGTAATGTACAAGGGGAATGATGCAGAGAAAAAAAACCTCATCTAAATCGGAGAGTTTTCAGTGTGTCCAAAAAATCCTTTTACTCTCTCCTGTAACTTTCTAATCAATAGGTTTTTTTGTTGTTTGTTTGTTGGGGTTTTTTTTTGGGGGGGGGGGGGGAGATGGAGGGGTGGATTGGTTTTTTGTCTGTTTGGTGGTTTTTTGTGGGTTTGGTTGGTTTTTTTTTTAATAGATCATAATTTTTGGTTAAATCATCTCTGCAGTAATTCCCATATCTCCACCTCTACTGCAAGATTACACTAGCAGTTTTACCTGGATATGCACCAGAAGTGCATTTTTCCACAATGTTAACTGATCTTTTAATTCTCTCTTAGGAGAAATTTTAAACTAATATAGTTTGTCCTCTTTCTCAGTGATTTATTTTCTTCAAATGCCTTGTGAGGAATTTTGCCAAAAGTTTTCTGGAAGTTCACATAAATGAGTCTGCAACAGAATCTGTTAGGTTTTACATTCTAATAGGCTGGACAGGTAAGATGCTATTTTTCTTTACAATGGTATGCTGATTTTTTTGTCCCTAAATTATCACATTATTCTACAGAACTTTCAGGGCACTTTCTATTAATTTACCAGGTGCTGAAGTAGAGATTCAATGCCTTAAAACATAAAGATAACAAGGGTGAAAACACTAATTATAAGCACTGGCTACCCACAAGTCCTCTTAAGAGTCTGAAAGGAAACCAGAACCACAAATGACAGTACACAACAAATGAAACATAGCTGACCAAAGATGCCAGGAATAGTAAATGTTTGGTTGGGCACATGATTTGACAGATAGCTTTGCAATTCAGTCTGTTTCACTGACTACTATAAAAAAAACCCTTCATATTAAAAATGACACCCAGTATTAGAAAAACATAGTTGGACTCCTAAGCAGTTTCCTTTAAGAGTATTCAAAAAATAAAATACAGAAGCTTGTCTCCTTTTGTAATATATACTCAAGAAGAAAGAGAAGGATTACTATGCTTGAAAATAGCAAATGATTTTCATGGTGTCCCAAGTCCATTTCTTCACTCCTGTAAAGTTGCATAACAATATCCTTTCTTGAAGACAAAATTAATTCTCAAAGCCCAGTGATAACAAACTCATTTATACCGTACAGATTTTAGAAGAAGTAGTGCTGTCTTAAGCAATACCATTTTGCTCTTACCTACTGCTGTCTCACTTAGATGCCTTTTCTTTCTTCCCTCTGACAGCTGGTCAGATGTTCCTGACACTGACTGAGATTTGGAATTAGATAAACAGTCACTGCTCCATTGTTTGACAGAAACATTATGTTGATTATAGTCTACAACAGAAAAAGCATGTATCAAGTTGAAAACTTAATTGTCCATTGGTGCAATCTACAGCCAATCTCAACTACTGAACTATTTGTAATGGAAAAAACCAGACTCCTGATAGGAATCCAAACAGTAAGCAGTACTGCAGCCAGGCACCTGTGTCTGCAGAGAACCCATGGTCCAAACTCCCCCCACGTGTATTAGTGCCCTCCTACGGTTCTGATGGGATCATTTCAGTGCAACAAAGGAGAACCTGACACTGTGGTGTGGAAGAGATTCCTCTTCCACCTAAAGCCTTAGCCAGTTACCTTCTCTGATAGCCTGCTTTGTGATAAGTTTATAAATTGCACCTTTTCAGGGCAGAAAGTACTGGCAAATGAATGAAAAATGGTCATGCAAGTATTAAAATATTTTGCTTTACATACCATTGTCTGGAGATGCTTTAAACTCTGCTCCCAAAGATGAGGTATCAACAGGTTCTCCTTTGATGTCATCCTTCCTTAATAATGTTTCAAAGTATATGTGAAGAGGAATCTCTAACAAAAAAAAAAAAAATTCAAATGGAACGGGGTCTGTATCAGAAAGATGGCAACCTATGAGCCAATGATTTATGTATCATCACTAAAGGTCTAGGAATCAATTTACACAACACTATGTAACATAATCTATGAGCAATATTGCTGCCTTGAGTCCTTCAACTCATGATGAACGGCAGTACTCAGTAGCTCCTGCAAGTATCAATCACTTGTCTATAGGGCAGCAGCGTCTTCACAGGGTCAAGCTGAAGACAATATAGGTAAACACATCCTGAAACTGGTGAGACCAAAGGAAAACTCGATGACTATATCCCAAAAAAGGCCAGCCAAACCTTTCAAAGAAGTGATTTTTGCATGAGTAAAAAAGAAAATTTGAGGCAAGGTAATTCTCAGCAAGTGTATTGGCTTTATGTGGCAAGGTTTTGGCAGCAGGGGGTATTACAGGGGTGGCTTCTGTAAGAAGTTGCTGGAAGCTTCCCCTGTGTCCAAGAGAGCCAATACCAGCTGGCTCTGAGATGGACCCGCCGCCGGCCAAGGCCGAGCCAATCAGCAGTAGTGGTAACGCCTCTGTGATAACATTTTTAAGGAAAAAAAAGTTGGGACAGACGGAAACGGCAGCCGGAGAGAGGAGTGAGAACATGTAAGAGAAACAACCCTGCAGACACCAAGGTCAGTGAAGAAGGAGGGGGAGGAGATGCTCCAGGCGCCTGAGCAGAGATTCCCCTGCAGCCCATGGGGAAGACCATGGTGAGGCAGGCTGTCCCCCTGCAGTCCATGGAGGTCCACGGTGGAGCAGATATCCACCTGCAGCCTGTGGAGGACCCCACGCCAGAGCAGGTGGGTTCCCGAAGGAGGCTGTGACCCCATGGGAACCCCGCGCTGGAGCAGGCTCCTGGCAGGACCTGCGGATCTGTGGAGAGAGGAGCCCATGGAGCAGGTTTTCTGGCAGGACTTATGATCCCATGGGGGACCCACGCTGGAGCAGTGTGCTCCTGAAGGACTGCACGCGGTGGAAAGAACCCATGCTGGAGCAGTTTGTGAAGAACTGCAGCCCGTGGGAAGGACCCACATTGCAGAAGTTCGTGGAGGACTGTCTCCCGTGGGAGGGACCCCACACTGGAGCAGGGGAAGAGTGCGAGGAGTCCTCCCCCTGAGGAGGATGAAGCGGCAGAAAATAACGTGTGACGAACTGACCGTAAACCCCGTCCCCGTCCCCCTGTGCCACTGGGGGGGTTTGGTAGAGAAATCCAGGAATGAAGTTGTGCCCGGGAAGAAGGGAGAGATAGAGGGAAGGTGTTCTGAGATTTGGTTTTATTTCTCATTACCCTACTCTGGTTGATTTGTAATAAATTGAGTTGATTTTCCCCAAGCTGAGTCTGTTTTGCCCATGATGGTAATTGGTGAATGATCTCTCCTGTCCTTATCTCGACGCACAAGCTCTTTGTTATATTTTCTCTCCCCTGTCCAGCTGAGGAGGGGGAGGGATAGAAGGGCTTTGGTGGGCACCTGGCATCCAGCCAGGGTCAACCCACCACAGCAAGACAGGTACTGTACGAGTGCTATCCTCCACTACAGGCAAAGACCTGTAGTCTTTCCTATCAGTTATCTAAGTACTACACAAGATAATCTCCACTAATTGCCTGGAGGTAAGAACTCAAGGTACCTGTCTCTCTATTAATGGGAAGTAAGAGTTATGCCATGGTAAAAGCAAATCCATGTTTAGGTGTGAAGCTACACTGCCATATGTGCTGACCAAGGCAGTATACGTAAGTGGTTCTAGCTCTCTCCAGAGCTTCTAAGGGCTGACAAGACAACTCAGATCAAGGTAGGACTCAAACCTAAGGAATGCTCCTGAACAAATCCCAGTGCAGGTACACACACACTTAGTAAATTAACAGCACTTTTTTTGGTGTTCAAAGTCTAAGTAAGAGAGAGCAAGGTGTCTTACTCTGGAATAAACTACATCTGTACCTGCAATTACTCCAGAATTATTCTTCATGGAAACAAGCTCTGGAGGATACCAAGTGAAGATAAGACTGGGGTCTTCCCCTCTTGACTAACTCCTGCACAAAAGCCAGCATAGCAGAGAGCGCACAGTGCACTTTTCCTGTAATCTGAAAAGGCTTCAATTCAGCCTTTTGGGTACAAGTAATTAATGTTTTTGGAAATTGTTACTGCTGAGAGCATAGAGGTAATTTCAAGGTACATTCCTTCTTTCTCTCTCTGGCAAAGGCTACAGCAGAGCAATACGATTCATTTCCTGAGGGAGTTCTGACTTGGAATTAGTCTGCAAAACATCTCAAGTGGTAAGGAATTTACCCACTGTTGTAAGGCAGGAAGGCTTAAGAAAAATAGGTCTCTATCTGAAAAGCCTTTCCAGAAACAAAATTACAAGAAAGAAGAGAAAGTAAGTAGAAAGAAATATTCCAACGTAAGAAAGAAATATGTCAATGTAAGATGCAGGCTTGACAAGTATGTTCAGAATGAGAAGAGGACCAAGGGCAGGGCCAAAGGGTGGGCATTAAACTACTTTTATTTACATACAACCTTAGCCTCCTGTACCTTCAGGACTTGCCAGGACAGAAACTTTCAACATATTTTGCTAACTAAAAAGAACAATTTATTTCAATTTGATATGGATCTAACTAGATATTTTGTCACAAGACCTGAAGGTTTTTGCTGTGTTTCCTATTCTCCTTCTGAGTAAAACATAAAGAAGGCCTGAAAGGTTTATTAGTCACAACATTTAAGTAAAGAAATAAACAAAACATTTCTCCTGGCTTGGTTTTTTTGGGGTTTTTTTTGTTTGGTTTTTTTTTTTTTCCCCTGGGGAACAACCTGGATGTCTCAGAGATTTTTTTATTATGTGCTCCTGTATCTTATTCAAAAAGGGCAGGAGTGTTTGTTCCAGTTTATGCACAGCCTAGGTGCAGAAATACCAGAAACCCAAACTTCTTAGATACAATGTTCCAGTTATCGGGGTGCAAGTTGAAAGAGATGCTTTTACATGAAAGGGATGCTGCAACCACTAACATATTTATTTTTGGTCAAGAACCCTGCTAATCTGGAGACTCTGAAGGCAAGACTCAGAACTGTAAGGACAATTATGCTTCCAGAAGTGAGTACACTAGTGAGCCAGTCCCACTACACTGTATTTACTAGGTTGTCTGCAAATTAATGTTCTCCTTTGAAAGTAAAAAACAATGTACAAGAGAGAACATCATCTGAATCTTGAACTTGAATCCCTCCTCGCATACTAAAAAAATCAAACTCCCAGAGTTTCAAAATGGAACAAATACCTTTTAACAGACAGAGGAAATTAAAACAAAACCCTTTTATTTTACTCTGCTGACAAACTTTTTTTATTCAGAAGAGGGTGATAAAAGATGTGGGCACACCACATGCAGTATTTAAAAGGATAACTAAGGAAGTTGCAAAGAAAACATGAAATTGGCCAACAGGCTAGCAGTCTTCATGAGGAGATAGAGTGAGCAAAGTACACAAAGCACAGAGCAAAGCATGAATCTAGCCTTCCTCAAAAACAAGGACTGCATGTGAGCAGGACATAGTAGGTCTAGCACTTTTTTGCTGTCACAACTACTATTAGCAAGGTTCCTTGAAAAGAGAGCAAATATTTCTCAAAAGAAAGATGTTCTTGGTATCGGAATGAAGCCAAAGCAACATTTTTCCTCCTCCATCCTGGCAAAGTGACCAAGAGTAGTCACAATGCAATCGAAAGCCTTTCAGTTTTTCATGATGATTAATCTTTTTTCGAGAAAAGAAAATGTCAATATTCTTGTTAAACTTCCTAGTCTCCCTTAAGAATAAGGTAAGAATGAACACAAGGGGCAAGCCTTATATGACTATCCTTGAACAGACTTCTAACGCCCTGGCTCCTGTCCAGCTGGGCTGTCAGAGTCACAGGGTAAGTGATGGAGCGTGTGTGTAAAGAAGAAAGATTTAAGAGGTGTTTTTCTCTTCTCTCCACAACAGAGTCCTGCTGACCGGGATGTCTGCTGTTGCACTCTTGGGAGTGAGTGTTCTGTTTCCCCTATCTGCTCCTCAAAATAATCTCCTCTTTACCCCATACATGGGATGTAAACCCTGGTAAACCTACAAGAGTTGAGACCTCCTTCGGATTCCATGTCCACAATTCAGTCTTCTCTACTGGCCAGTGACAAAAAACCCAAGACTTACTTTAATCCCTGGCTTCAAATACCAGGCTGCAGTGTCTACACTGTCATTCTGGGAAGACAGTGGGTTTGATTAAAGACTCAAACAGTTCCATGAAAGTCCCAGCCTCACCTTCAGGATTATTTTGTGGCAAAGAAGCCCTCTCAAAAAAAGCAGAATTCCTGTACTGGTCAGCAACTACCTAGAAACAGGTTTCTCTTAACGTAAGCCTCCCCCGCCCCAAATCCAATAGTATGAATCCCTTCTGCTGATAACAGCATTTAATATGCTATTTTGAAGCCCCAAGTGCTGTCAAGTCACACCTGCACTAGTTTCAAGGCTGAGTCACAAGCAACAACATCTGCATTATTGTTCAAAAAGATTAAAGAATCAGATGACAGAAACCATAAACTTCAAAGATCACCAAAAAAGCTGACTATCACAAAAACAATTAGAAAACCTAAATAAAGCTTTATGGACCTAGTCCAAAGGGCCTGAACTGAAAGTTGCTTATGAAAACAACACAACCAAGATATGGTAGTGTGTTGGCAAAAGCACCATCTAAAGGACTAACACTAACTCAATTAGACACATCGTGAAATGTGCAAAAAGTACCTTTTCCCTGACCAATCTTTCTTGGTTGTAATCACATTACTGGTATGGGAAACCTAGAAGGTGTGTTTTTCAAATGTCAGGATGAAGTTAAGATTTTCATTTAGTTTAAACTCACGTATGCCAGTGTGAGGTTTTCTGTAAGAGAATTAATTTCTAAAAATCACTCAAAAGAAAAGTTAGTCCATAAACACTACAGCTCTCACAAGAAAAACCACTGTTAAGAGTCACAGTGTTACTTACCTGAAGGGAATGATAAGACTGGATGGAAGGAAGAGTCCAGCTCTTGCACATAATCCAGTATTTTAGATTCTGAGCTGTACTCACTACTGGTCAAAGCGGAGGCTGGCACCATACACGGTAACTGAGTTTTATATGGAAAGGAGGCATCTCTAGATGGTGAAGTCTGCAAGAATACACAGAAACAAAGGTTAACTTCTCCTTTACTCGCTTCCTTCAAATTAGACCAGAAAGGGAGGGGTAAGTCAGTGAGAGACACTCTTCAATATGGCAATGGGAAAAATATTCCTACAAACTTCAGGTAGTCTAAATATGACTTACCTCCACTTATCATAGGCTATAGTGCACAATACAAAGAATACAAAAAAAACCTTCAATTAGGGCCAGGAAACAGCTGTCAAAAGTTTCCAGAGAAAATGTAACTGTTTCCAATCATTATTTTGATATATCCTATGACAAAGAAACACCCCTGAAAATTCTATTCCAGCGCAATAGGCATGATACAGATGCACAAACAAAACTAACACTAGACTAAATACAAGGGTCTCCTCCATTTATTCTCTTAGTCTTAGTAAGATTCTTAGTATTGATATCTCTAGACAGTTTGAGCTTATACATTTTAATGCAAGACACATTATTAAACATTTTGAGCACACTGTGTACTTACACAAAGCAAGAGGGCAAAGTCCTTACCTTGTTATAATTTAAATATCAGATAAGCAACACAAACAAAAGAAGATACACAGCAATAAATACAGAGAAGGATGCACTGAGGATTGATTAATAGGTAGTAAGAGGAATTACTAGAAAGAGGAGAGCTGCAAAGAAAGATAATTTAGCTGCTTATTTGCAAGGCTTCTTAAAGTACAGAAGGTAAAATAACGGATTGCACAGAACTGGTAGGTGTGAGGTAGCAAGACACTAAGTCAAAAGGCAGGGTGAAAATGGGCAGGAATAAGCAGCAAGGTGCAGGCAATATACTGAGCTCTGAAAGACAGAAGGAAAGAACTGAATGTGTCAACAGTAGTCTGTGCTTCAGAATAAGCTACAAAACCACTGCCAGGAAACAGTGTTGCTTATGCTACCTTCAGCCTTACTGGATACTAGCAGTAGTAACCCCAAGGTACCTTTTTAAAGGCTTCCATAGATTTTTGATACTTTGCCAAATGCTGCAGAACCTACAAGCAAGAAGGGAGGGAAGGGGGTGATGGGGTACTTCAAGGGTCTTAGCCTAATGCTGTGGTAGCCTAAGAGCCGCATTTATCATCTCCCGGAAAAGTATTTCAATGTAAAAAACTGTAAGAATGTATATAACAGTGGTCATCTTGACTTTCTTACCACTTTTTATGGAATGAAAGGAGAACATCTAGCAGTTGCATCAGAGGCAAGACAATCAAACAAACATTATTTGCATTTTCAATACTTCTGCTTTCAGAATCAAAGAAATCTCTTCAGCTGCTTCCTCCTGCCTGAAATATTCCAGGTGGTATTCTAGCAGTGCTACTCATCTGTTAGTGATGAAGTGATTATGTCCACCACATAAAATCCTCCTCCACTTACTGAAACCAGTCCTTCTGTCAGGTGGCATCAGCATTCACAACCCACACTAACTCAGAAAATATTCCGTTAAAAAGTTCCTCCTTCCATCTCTTCCCTTCTTCTCAGTCGACAAATTCCCTATGCTGGTACTGTGTTACAGGAACTATTAAAAATCAAGTAAGCATGTTATAATGCTGGAGCGGAGGAGACCCTGTGGTGGTTCTTGTATTTCACTTTTTTTTTCCACAGGAAAACAATAACAGTTCTAAATCCACCTTCATCTCCATACACAGGTGTATGCATGAGTACTTTCGATTAATTTGGAAAGAATTCTTTTCTAGCCCAGGACTCCTTCAAATCAGTGTTCTGTTATTTTCCTGTGATAGATGTATGAGACTCTTCATCTGTTAAACTTAAACATCCATAGTGTTGGCAGAACTGGAACCTGTGTTTGGAAACACTAGAGGGATAAATGCTAAAGCGAATTTAATGTTTCCCATTATATGGACCATTAAACTAAAACTTAGAGAGCTTTTAGGTAGTTGCTCAACCTTTGATGCAATAAGGGCTTGCTTTTAAAAAATGCACAAAAGCATATTTCCTCTTGATATTTGGGTTTTAGAAATAAACTAGTTTACTGAATCTCCACTATTTAAGCTGCAACTGCACCGCTTCTGCTTGCATTTTTTTTTACAGAAATGAATCCACATTACAGTAAACGATCAATCTCTTATTCTTTAAAAATAAATCCCCAAACACTAATCAGTAAAATTACCTAGAAAATATATAGATAAGACCAATACATACTGACATCCAGTCCTTTAGTCCTGACTTGCTTTTTGTTGCTTTAATTCACTTTAGTCCCAAACACTTTTAAACTATAGCTTAAAGCTAAGCCTGCTCAAAAACATGCATACGTGGTCAAATAACCTCCACAGTCTCAATCTATTTTGAAACAGGATTAAAATCCATCTGCCAACACTGGTTACACATATTTTCCTCATCTTGCCTGTGGTCGGAGTTACAAACCTTATGCCTGAGTTTGTGCTTTATTTCCTTGAATGCTCTGGCATCAACACCTAAATAATTACATCTTTCATTAAGTCAGTTCGTAATTCAAAAGAAAATAAGGACTTATATAGAAGTAGAGTAATTTTATTTAAATGCCTGTGAAGTTAGTAGAAAAAAGCTAAAAATGTCTGTGGTCCTAGCTACTGGATCTGGTTTAAATTTCTGATGGAGTAGTTTTCCACTGGAAAATGCTGAATTAGTGAAATCATAATGTTTGTCAGGAATGTCGATTTAGTCAACTCGATGAAAAAATTTCTGAAGCCCTTCATTCTGGAATAAAAGCATGTTGCTCAGTCAAAGAAAGTGGTTCAACCTTATTGAAACAAAATTGAAGAATTGTTTATTGGAAAACTAAACTCTCCCCCCTTCCAATTCAGTACAGAACACAGTCTACAACCCAACTGGCTTTTACAACAGTTAATTATTGATTTTGTAACAAAACAAAAAATCCACCAAAACCCAACTGAAAACAACCCCACAAATACATTCATTGAGCCACAGCAATGACAAGTGGTTTCATGAAAACATACAGCTTTTAGAAGTCAGGCCTCTACAGTAAGCCTGAACACAATGCCAACGCTTCAGAAAGCAAGAGAGATTACTAAACTCTTATCAATTTTTTTCCCTGCTATACTACACCGCATACATCTCCTGAAATATTTTTCCTCATTACTGAAATACAAACCTCATGCTTCCTGAGCTCAAGCAGATATGAAGAATAACATTACATTAAATTGATTCTATTAAGGAAAAGAAAATACACTGTATTTAAGAGGAAATCAGAAGTGTGCAAGCTTTAAATCTTCAACTAAAATAGCAGCTCTGTTTTAAACATCATAAGGAGTGGTGTCACCAACAGAATCTAATTTTCTAGAGTATTATGAATTTTCATCTTGGATTTCTCACCCACACCCACCCCCCATACACACACTTAGTACTGTTTTACTGGGTCACAGAAAATATAGTGAGCAATTTACTTCAATATTCAAAACGATTCTTGCACTTGCTTGTGATAAATTGATGCATTAGACAAAGCACGACTGGCTCATGCCTCCATTCTAGAAGGGTCAGAAGGCTGAACACTACCAGCCAACCATCATTCTGCAGAGAAAAAAGTTTGAGTCTACAAAGCATGCAGTAATTGAAAAGAAAAATGTTTTGTGCTCCCAGTTAAAAATTATGAAGTGAACACTCGTTTCACGGTTTCAGCTACTGATCACTAAAACTCCTACCATTTTTGGAAACATGCCTAAGTGTAACAGTACAAAGGCCACAGTTGAATTACATCAATGTGTATGAATCCAGTAAGTTAATTAAGTTAGCTCAAATACACTCTGCTGAATACCTGTCACATCTGCTTCTGATTACTCTTATAAGCTGAAAAAGGCAAGGAAAAAGCATTTATTCTCCCTAACCCCCCCCCCCCCTTTTCAACAATATCAAAGAGCTATCCCCCTCAATATTAAAAACTTCTTCAGTAAATGAGTAGCCAACTAAATTGGCTAATTAATTGTGGAGATTTAATTATGGGATCCAAGCGAACCACCGTGTGGGTGGCTGATGCCTCCTCTTTGAACACTTAACACATTGCTAACTTTTAATCCTCCAGAAGCGCTATGTACAGCTCAAACCAACAGAGCACCACATTACCTGCTTGCTTCTGTGCTCTACCATCTGCCTTGAAGGCCAGCCCACTTCTCCATGGGCTCCCTCGTCTGCATACAGTGATCTGCTCTGAGCAGAGCTAGGTCCCTCTGGCAGAACATACAGTTAAATGAAATGTCTTCCTTTCACAAGCTAAACATCAGGGGTTCCCTAAGCAGGATTTCAGTGCAGAGTGCTTTTGGGAAACCTAGAATATATGGATAGTGAAAGGTTAATCTGAAAGCCCCAAAGACCTTCTCTCTTATCAACAGGTCATGGGGGAGAAGGTGGGCAAAGCATCCAAGACACCCCTACGTGGGAAGGTCCGTAACAGATGGTGCTGACAATACCTATTACATGACAGACTCTCCTTTCCAGATGAAGCTTCTATAGATGTCAAATGGACAGGCCTTTCCCATGCACTTGCTTGCAATCTATATGCAGGTCAGGTACGGTGAAGCAAGCTGCCCTGGGATGTAAACAAATTCAACTGCCTCTGGCCCCTCTGAAGCTGCAGTTAACATTGAAGTGGCAGATCCTGTGGCAGAGACCAGTTTTTTCTAGGAACAGAACCAAGACTTTCATAAAACACTAACAGCAACTTACTCAGCATCTGGCTTGTCTCAAATTCACATTCTTGGTCAGTGTCATAAAAGGAGTGGTAGCTTCTACCATTCTCGGAGATCACCCACCTCTCATAAGTATACATGGAGTTTAGTTTCTTTAATCCTGTTATAAGCCAACAGGAGATGGACTTTCACCTGCTCTGTGGGAAGTGTATGCTGTCCTCAACATCCTGAAACAAAGACCTTTTGTTCAACTAGCAAATCAATTGAAAAATCAAGGTTAGTGAGTAATCTTTGATCAGTTAAACCAAAAGAAGGAAAGACATGTTAATCCACAGGGATCTCT